TCGCCCTTGAACTGGCTTCCTCTTCTGTGAAGTGGAGGGTTTCTTAGCCGACTGCTCCTTGTCCAGAGCAGGCGGCTTCTTGTTGATCAACTCTTGAATTTCTCCCTTGAAGTCCCTCATGAAGGTCATGAGTTCGTTCCTTGTGATGGGAGCAGACCCATCAGTCGGCTGTTGCCGAACAGGCGGTGCGCCTGCTGGCTCGCTTCCTGTATGAAGATGTTCCCGTTTCCTCCTTTCGGTATGACGAGTACGTCGGGCCCTTAGGGTCCCGTCTGAAACTGTGTGAGCTTCAACTTCAAATTCATTCTCAGTATCGTGGTCCGACTGAACTAGAGGGTCGTCCAGGGGACGTCTCTCTTCAGGAGTCGGTACAAACGTGGATGTCATCTCAGAAGTACTCTCCCTACAGACGGCGCCAAAATGTTTCGGGGTTTTTTGATGTCCTGCGGGAGAGTTACAATTCCGAGACTGGAACCGGACGCCTGTACCTGCAAAACAAACGGATGCTCCGGATGATTGGAGATCCGCCTTCGACGGTCAAGTTAGTACTTGATTAAGGAGTAATTAATGCGGAAATTAAAGTGATTGAGTCTCTCTAGGTGAGAGAGTTTAATGTGTGTAATCTGCGTTCCCCCTCTTAATGAGGATTAAGGGAGGTATTTATAACCTCGGGAAACGTGCCAATCTAGGTTTAGGTTAACCTTGGGCTGATTGGGCTTCCCTCGGAAGTTGGGCCTTGGTGACTAGTTATCCCAAGTGTCATGGGAAGGACACGTGTCGTGTCGTAATTGGTCCATAGTGGACGGATCATTGCTTGACACGTGGCAGGCTCCTATTGGCCCATGTGACGGACACATGACGGAACCTGATTGATCCACTTGTCAGATGGTGATTGGTGGGAAAAATCCCCTAATCAATTAATATATTCAATTATACCATTGTAAAAATTATTAAAAAAAATTGATAAATGAAAAGTAGATTTCGAGACGAATCTCTAGATCCCACATAACTACGGAGTATGTTTTTTTTCTAATGGATAAATCACAAACGATTATAATAGAAGATTAAATGAATAGTATAAAAGTCTTTATGCTGCAATAAAAGAAAAACGGAGGAAGTAGATGGAAATAGTAAAATTTAATAGACCTTATGATAAATTCTATTATTTATTTTATCATGCAGAGTAATGTCTCTATTCGATACTTTGATCTTTTTCTCGATAATGTCTCTAGACTATTCGAATATATATTCTTTCATAAGGTCTAGTGAAAAATGTCTCTATTTACTTCGCTTCTAACTTATTTTAAAAAAGACTAGGTAAAAAAGGGTGGTTAATGTAAGAAAATATGAAGACGGACTACAATTTTAATCTTACAAAGGTTGATTATTCTAATAATTTTTTATCTTATCATATTCACTGAACTAAAGGAAATCCTGATGAAAGTGTGGAATTACCACGATCAAAATTACTTCCTTTAGGAACCCTAGTTCCTTACCATGCATTATGAGTTCCATTGTTTTGTTTGTTAAATTTTCTTTTCAATTTATGCCTTTTATCATGACATAATAACATGGACCATTGGACCCACGACTTCTAAATGACAATTATTGGATGCTTCTTTGAGTTGGAAAAAGACTAAAGCAAATTAGGAATATGAATATATGATATATTCTCCACACAAAATTTTAAAAAGCTAAAATATTTCTTTTTTAAAAAATTGATAGGCAAGAATATTAAAATAATTAATGACTTGTAGGGTCTCAATATGACGTCTTGTATAGTAGGACCTAATATGGTTTTCTGCTTAAAATAATTAGCATTGCAATAATTTAATATCATGGTACTGTCCTATAGTGTGACATCATCTATGTGATACATTATATTTACAATATTACAGTATCTTTTGCCAATTGTAAACTTTGGGAAGAGGCGCATGGTATCTAAACTAGAGGAAGTAGTGAGGGAGGTTAGTAATGCATTTGCAAATGCATAACAAATACTAAAATATTAAAAAGCACATGGGGGTGAGAGAAAAGAGGAGAGAGATGGGTAAGTAGGGCCATTTTTTAAATGTACCGTTGAAAGCTTAGATAGTACCATTGACTATGTAGTGATACTATTTCTACCGTAATGATACTATTTCTACACGTAGTGAGTACCACTGAATGAATATATAGTACCACTACATACATAAATAGTAATGCTGAAATGTTCAATGATACCATTTAATCATCTAGTTATACAATTGATCACTCAGTGGTACTACTCTAAATTCAGAAATGCATTTACGTAAAATGACCCTCATGCCCCTCGTTATGCATTTACTCATACATAACTAACCTCCCTTTGGAAGGCCTACAACCTATAAATAAGTCAATATAACAACATAATAGGATCAGATTCTTTCCATCTTTCCAATTTTGACTAGGTTTCTTACATTTTATACATAAAATAGTTTAACTAGGTTTTCATTAATGGGTAAGAATCTTAAGAGGAAAATTTCGAAGGGGATTCCTCCATCCAAACTATTTTCCTCACAAAAGCAAAATTGGATTTAGTTAATGTAAATCATTGTCATTTTTAGTTAGAATTCTGTTAGATATTTGAAAAACTCATTTTAAATAAGTTAAATTAACTGAATATAAACTTATTACTACATATAGTAGTCTCATACAATTTCAAAACGAAGAGAGTTTTCGCATCTATAAAATTGTCAGGTTTTTTGCTAATAGAATTATTGTGTACTTCATCTCAACAAAGCAAAAGACTAAAAGTAGATACATTTTTTAGAAACAAGTTTAAACAAATAAACATATATAAGAAGGAGAACAAATCAATCACAAGAGTTTACTACTTTCATATATTATTGAATGACTTGTGTTATCCCAAAGTACTTATGCCAATTAAGAAAAAGTTAATACATGTAGTGAATTTGGAAAATGATAAACATAGCCTTTAGTTAAAGACGATGTATAAGAAGCAAAATATTAAAATAATACGGATTAATACACTGATTTATTCATGATAATGTAAAAAAATTTCAACTTTATTTGATCAATTAAGCAAAGAGGTATATTTAATGCTTATATGTAGCCATGAGCGCTACATATATCTTCATCATTTTGGTTAAACGGCATTAAGGCAGCAGCTACTTAAACATTAATAAAAACCAGTTTGATACAGAGTTTGAGCTTAAGCTAGCTCCTTCAGAAGCCAATAAGGTAGGCAATACAGTTTAAAGTAGTATTGCAAGCCATAATCAAAGGTTAGAGTTTAAGTCATTGCTAAAGCAATTTTCATTGGTGTAAAAAACTACCCCATTCCCTGCAGCCCTACAACTCTACATGTACACAATCAATTTCAAATTTTTAAACTTTTAATAAATTATTACAATTTCTCACCTCATACATGGAATCACTTATAACTTTCTAGGCAAGTTACACAAAGTACTATTTTTTTTTTTATTTTTTTTTTTTATTATTTTTTTTTTCATGATCTGATACTCCATCCCAAGATATGACTCATTTGATAAGGTTCTTACCTTATAGTTTTGAGGTTCTAGGAGCAAATACTAAACAAAAAAATCACAAGAGTTGGTGTTAAATTAGGGTCCTCATTACCGTTGAAAAAAAAAGCAAAGGTTTTGCACTTAGCTTACTCCCTCCACTACAAGAAAAATCACTTTTCGTAGCGATTGTTCATTCGCTACAATATGCAAGTATGTTTGTGAAATACTTAAGGATGTCGTATCATTTTTACAATCGCCATGGTTTTCCCATATAAAATCGATGCGGAAAGCATAATAATACATATCTACACTATTTTTTACACATTTATATAATTTTGAGAAATCGTATCATTTACAATCGCCACTAAATCCTAAAAATCGATACGAAAAGCCTTTTCAACACTAGATATATAAATATTGTTTGAAAAAGAATACATAAAATATGTCATAGCTTATTGGTAAAACATTTAATATAAGAGTTTGAGGTTGCATGTTTGAATCTTGTAAAGATCATACGCATGTTTTTTTTTTAAGAAAATGAGTTGAACATTTATAGCGATTGTAATCGCTACAATAATCACCACGATTGAATGTAGTTTTTCGTATCGATTATTGAGGCCAACCCCAGCGATATTGAAAACCACTACTAAAGGCTAAGGCAACGGGGGATATTGTATCGAATGATCATTCGTTGGGAAAGCTTTTTGTTGCAATTACAATCGATACTAAAGGTTAAAATAATCGCTACGAAAAAATTATTTTGTTGTAGTGCTCAATTCCTTAAAATTTGCTTTACTATATATATCATACCACTTTTCATAATTGTAAAGAACCACAACTTTACCCTTGATCACATTGATTCCTTATCACTAAAAAAAATACTTCATTTCAAGTTAAACAACAATGAGCTGGGGAAGGTTGATTTTGAGTCAATATTAGCATATATGTGTTTTTTTTTTTTTTTAAAAAAAAAAAAAAAAAAAAACATGTCAAATGAAGATGAAAAACGTACGTAAGCTTTTTGATCGAATAAACAAACTATTGCAGTTAAAAGTGAATGAACAATGAAGGAACTACAAAAGTAATAATTAATCCATGCATTGTCACTTAATGATTACACTATTTTTCCTTTTAGTTTGTTCATTATTTGAATTTGCTTAATGGGGATAGATATTACAACTTCCCTCATAACTCTTGCAATTGATCCCACTAGGCTACTATACTATACCATCAAGCCATTATCGATACAAAACTTTTTAAAAAGGGTCATTGTCAAATTCGCGACCATGGTCACTTTGGAAAAATTTAACAGGACGCTCAAATTGAGTTTGTACGTATTGTCTAAAGTGAATAAAAGACTGGAAGGCTTGAGATTTATATGCAAGAGGTATAGCCCACACATAATGAGTAAAATCATCAAGAAGTATTAAATAGTATTTATGACCATTAATACTACGAATAGGAGATGTCCATAAATCGGCATGAATAATGTCAAAAGCAGAAAAAGTACTATTATTTGAATCATGAAACGGAAGTCTAACATGTTTCCCTATTTGACAAGAATTGCAAAAAGTGGAGTCATGCTCTTTATTACAAGAAATAAAATTATTTCTCTTAAGAAAACTTAAAGATGATGGTCCGGGATGCCCTAAACAATCATGCCACGGGGTAGTTGCAGCGAGAGTAGTAGCTAGGAAAGTGGTTGATGGACTTGAGGTGACTGGGTACAGCTCCCCGGTGCTATTGCATCTCGTTATTTCCCTCCCCGTTCGTAGATCCTTCACAGTAAAACCATTAGGGTCAAATTCTATAGAAACCTTATTATCGGAAGTAAATTTACGAACATAAATAAGATTTTTAATAATTTGAGGTGCAAGTAAGACATTTTTAAGGTGAAGGGAATTATTTGGGAGGGTGGTATGACCATAACCAGTAATTGGAATGCGATGACCATTACCGACTAAAATATGATTATGAGTGCTTAAATTAAAAAGGGGTAGAAGAGTACCGAGATTATTGGTCATATGAGACGTGGCTCCCGAGTCCATGTACCATCCGTTGTCCGGAGTGGACAAATTCATTGAAGAGTAGGCACTGCCAAAATCTGTGGGGGTCATTGGAGGTCCGTAGGTGGAGGACCCCATTGTGTAGGCCTGCTGACTTGATCCACGAGCATAGGTGGGCCGTTGCTGGAATGGTCCAGAGGTGGGAAAGGGTGCTGGCGGAATTGCCCAGCCTTGAGGCCAAAAGGGCTGGAACGAATTGGGCCATTGAGGTAATGTGGCCCAATTTTGACCATTAGGATTGGGCTGAACTTGTTGTTGCCATCCTTGTGGTTGTTGTTGTCCCTGTTGTTGCGTACCCTGTTGTTGTCCTTGGCTTGAAGAAGAGCCCCGACCCTTGCCTTTACCTCGCCCTTTGCCGCCACCTGAAGCACGACCTCTGGCGCCGCCACCTGAACCGCGGCCAGCCGTGGATTGCGTTTGCTGCTGCCCGGAGTTTGCAGAGAGCTCCGCTTGTGCGACAAAAGAAGATGGATATAAATTGTGGTCGTTCGCTCGTCGAGATTCCTCAAGAAGAAGCCTCGATCTTGCTGTGTTGAACGAAGGTAAGGGATCGGTTTGCTGAATCATGGTAGCAACCGTATCAAAGTCGGTGCCTGTTAGTCCGGAAACAAGTTGGATCACAAGTTTTTGCTCCGTCACAGGTTGTTCGATGTTGGCTAATTGGTCGGCAAGGCTCTTAAGTTGCTGACAGTACGCCGTTACACTAGGGAAGTTGCTCAGATGAAGCGAGTTGAACTGATTTTCAAGATAGACCGCCCTAGTGTTCTTGTTATCTTGAAATATTTCTTTAATGCGATCCCATAGTTGTTGAGCACTCGATTTTGGGGCTAAAATTGTATTGAGAAGGTCGGTAAAGATCGTGCTGTATACCCACTGCTTGACAATTGCATCGAGGCGCTTCCATAAGGAGTCCGATATATTCGTCGGCCGTGAAATAGATGAGTCTATGTGATCTAACACATTATACGCACAAGCATGATTCTCAAATAGCTCCACCCAATTGGAGTATTGTACTTTCTCATAGTCAAGAACAAGGGGTATTGCATTTTTTATGTTGCTCACTGCCAAGGCGGGGTGAAACTCCGTCGTAGGAGGTGGCGGAGGTGGCGGAGGAGGGGTGTCACCATCCTTGGCCATGGGAAATCAATGAAGCAGTGAGCGTAAAAATAAAAAACAGAGGAATTTAATTGCAACCGAAATCTGGAATTAAACCGTGAACAGGGGAAAGTGTAATTGCGGAAACGTGAAGTAGGCTAGGTCCCAATCAAAACAGAAAAAAAAACCAAAGGAATTGGAAAAGAAATAAAAATTGAGATCTACAACCTAAGCTGTGATACCATGTTAAATTTCGGGAAAACTCCTCAATCTGGAGTGTGTACCATTGATCAAATATATAGAGTTTACAACGCTAGGCCTAATCACGTTAAGAATCCTAGATACGATAAACATACAAAATATACATTTAATATCCTAATAATCTGCGACAAATATTATCCTAAATATAATATCTATCAATTTTTTATTCTTTCACCTACATCACTACCTTCATATTTTATTACTTTTTTCAAATTCTCCTAAAACTCTACATATAAAAAATGAAGCAAAAATTTAAAAATGGAGAAAGTAGTATTCAAAAATAAAAATACTCCGTATTTTGAAATTTTAAAATAAGAAAACAATAACTATATTGTACTCCCTCAGTTTTTAAATACTTGTTCTAATTCTATTTTTAGCACTATTCATTTGTCCTACTTTGACTAAGGTTTGTGACTATACATAAGAAAAAAAAATATAGTCTTTGTGGGTACTTGTTGGAATCATCTCAATGAATTGATTATTAATTTTCAATTATTAGAATTTATACTTATTGATAATTAAAGATATTAGTAATAAAAAATTAACATCGATATACGTGTCTAAGAAAAATAAAGCAAGTATTTAAAAACGGAAGGAGTAGAAAGGAGGAGGTATATAATGAGAGGAGTAAAAATAAAAAATGGGAAGAAGTAGTGATAAATGACAATAAGGGAATCTGAAAGACCAATAGTGGGTGGAATCAGGTGATGACATCATAAATAATGTCTAACCGTTTTTCTCTCTTGGTAAAGTAAATTCCTAAAATAGTCTCATCATTCTTTCTTTGGATTTTTCGCGCGTCACACCTTGCACAGACACACTCCACTTTGTGTATTTGGCATATTTTTTTAAAAATAAATTTTTTAGTTATTTTGTTTTGTTGTGAAGAAGCAGACAATCCCTTCTCATCTTAGCCACTTATTCCTTTTCATTTTCTACCCCTGATTAGGACTACCTTCCACATTTAACTATCTTTTTCTTTAAATTACACTTTTACCCTTTATTAAAATCGGAGGTAGTATAATTATTGATATTTAACATATAAAATATATTTTGGATCATAATTTGGTCATTGTTGCAATATTTGTGAAACATATGAGTACCAAATACTACTCCCTCCGTTCCTGAAATTTTAGTCTAAAAAAGAATGACTCATTAATATTAAAATACCCACCAATTTGCAATAATATTTGTGCAAAATTAGTTACCCCGTGTAAAATTTTGTTTTTCTATATACTTTTATTATTATCTCTCTACTTTTTTGTAAACCCCATGTAAATTTATATTTTCAATATACCTTTACTTCTTTTTATTTAACTGTATTAATACCTGCAAAATCAACCTAAAGGGTCATTTTTTCGGGGACGGATGGAGTAGTATTTAGGAAAGATATCAAGATTCAAGAGGCATAATAGTCATTTCCATTGTCACTGTCCCTTTCCCTTAAAAAAGTATGCGTTGTCCCAATCAGCCAATCAAAAGCGTCATCTACAACCCCACAAGGGCATTTTCGACATTTCATATTCCACCCCCTATTTGTCACAAAACAAAATTTATACTCGAAAGAATCTCTAAAAAACGCAAAAAGATTCATTTGCTTCCGTTGATTTTCCACCTATTCTCCATTTGTCACTCTCTCTCTTTCTCTCTCTTCTTCTTCTCACATTTTCTCTCTCCTCTCTCTTCTCTCAGCTTCAATGGTGTTTCTGGAATCATCTGCTAAACTTTCATAGATCGGGAATCTTTCTATCTTTTCATGGTATTTTCCATTTTTAGCTTTTTTTTCCTATTTTTGCAGCCCCTTTTAATTTTTCCTTTAATTTCTCCGAAATATTGTTTTTTTTTTCCGAGGATTGAATATTAAATGTGTACATTTTTTGTGCTTTGTTGAATTTATTCTTTTTTTTAAGTTATATTGTTTTTGTGTTTATTTTAGTGCTTATTTGGTAATTTAGCTTATTGACTTGTACTAATTAATTAATTATTCGATAAGTATTCGTTTAATCTTGCTGTTTTGTAAATTTGAGTTTCTAAATTGGTAGTTTGTTTAATTTTAATATCTGGGGTGTACTTGGATTCTATGTTTCGATTACTATGGATTTTTTTATTACGTATTTGGTATATATATTTTCAGATTATTAGGATTTTTTTTTTCCAATTTTTTAAGGTAAGAGGGGTTTTTTTTTTTGGGTGTAAAGCTGTGATGTTGTCGTGTTTCGATCCCTAGATCACATTAAGACTTCAACCAACTAAGTTAGTTTACATTTACAGATAAGAAAATAAATTGCGGTGTTAATGTTGATGGATTGGGGTATGTTAGATTAAACTTATGGTGAAATAATAGCAAGTGTTTTTATGTTTGAGTGAAATTGGTTAAGTTATTACCTGGATCTGATAAAATTAATGTTGATTTAGTCAAAGTATTACTGTAAATTTTTGTCTGTTATCTTGTCAAATTTCGTTCTAATGAGGACCTTTATGTTCATAACTATATAGGGTAAGTCGACCAAATTATGGAAGTAGATCAAATTGACTATTTTTAAACCTGAAAATGCCTAGCTATATTGTAAAAAAAGTTTTTAAAAAAAAAATCCCAAAATTTCTTTATGTTTAGGATGATGAGTACAAGATTAAAAAAATTGTTGAATTATTGATTTATGGACGAATTGTTGAATTACTGATTTATGAGTTCATTATTTGAGGATTAATATAGCTCTGTTGAATTATCGATTTATGGACGAATTGTAGAATTTATTACATATATGTTCCCCTCAAGGACTTGGCTTGTGTTGGAGAGCTTATCTTTGTTCTCCACACCTTGTTGCCATTTTTCATCAGATAAGTCAAATATGTGATGAACAGATGAAATAATTGTTTTTTAAACTTGTCATTATAATAGTGTTGTTACTTTGCTACGGAGTATTATAAAGCCCAATACTTTTCATTGTTATTGAATAAAAATTATTTTCTTCTATTCAAATTGATTTTTGCTGTTTGAAACTATTTTTATTAACTAAAATCACCCTTTTCTAACCAATATTTTATATAGCATTTAAAATTAAATATTGCTAATTAAATCTGTTTTTATTGTTCTAAAATTATGTTTACTTATTTTTTTTTTTGGTATAGAATTACTACATTAGTTTAATTGATTAAAGGTATATATTATCCATCAAAACTGATTTGATTTATTGTTTTAATTGATTTCTTTTTATTTACAATTATAGAAATTGGGTTGCAATTATACAAAAATAACATTACTTGACAAAGCTTGACCACGAACCTCAAAAATGTTATTTTTCCTTTTAAGACAAAGGGAATATCATCTTCTCCCTTTAAAGTTATCTGTTGTTTCACTTTGATTATTACACTTGTGGATGCACAATTTTGACCATTAAAGTATGTTTAATTAATAAATATGAAGTAAAAAACAATTTAAAAGTTGATGTTATGAACATATTCATTAAGACAAATCTAAAAACATCTTATACTATCTCCGCCCACAATTATCTGCAACATTTGCCATAAATGGGTGCTCTCTATTATGTGCAACAAATTTTTTTTTATCATCTTTTAGTAAAATTTAAAGTGTAAAAAACCATCTTACCCTTACTTTTTTTGGAAATTTTACAGTAGTCATTTGAAATATGACTACCATAATGTTTTCATGATAATATAGTTCATAATTGATATATTTTTGCTAGATAATTAATTATATTACTTTACTTTAACTTTAGTATAAAATAGTTTTATCAAATTTTTTTTTTTATTATAAATTTTTTAGTTTCATTTATTTATTATAATTTTATAGTTTCTAGAAAAAAATTATTTTATGTTGGATTGAAAATTTCAAAAAATATATTTGCATTGTAGACATAATAAGGCTAATTGTGACCATTTTATAAGGTGAAAATATAAACCAATCATATAATATATCACTAAAATAATGTGGTAGTCATTTTTCAAACGACTACTATAAAATGATCCTTTTTTTGTTTTAATTTTGTTTAACCTTTTTTAATTAAACATATAGAATTACTTTCTCTCTTCTCTTTCCCACTCACTTTAACCCACTATCACACTTAAACATATGGGACCACTTTCTCTCTCCTATTTTCCTCTTTTTTACTATTTAATTAAACCCACCCAAACTTAATTAAACTACACTAAAAGTTTTGCCTAGGAGTCCGCAAAAAGTACATTTGGTGCAGATAATCGTGGGCGGAGGTAGTATGATGAAATTAATTGACTGTTAATGAATGAAAACCAAAAGTCAATACAAAAAATGGAAAAAGAAAGAAAGAAAGAATTGGAATCTATTGGAGATCATTTCACTTTCTTAGGGAGGATCAAATGAAAGTCTAGACTCTTTACCTTGTAACAATCACTACACTAACACCTGTTAATGTGGACCAAGTGTAACTTTTTATAATAGAAATGGCTATACCACCTCTATTTCCTCTCTGTTCCTCTTTTTCCTAGGAGATAGCATGTTTGGAGTGTGGTACTGTGGTAACAATTTATGGACTATCTAGTATCTTTTTTTTTTTTTTTTTTGAATCTCATGGACTATCTAGTATCTTATACAAGGTTTTCAGGCATAAATGTCTCTACTCTCTTCACTTGTGCTTTCTTTTTCCGAAGAAATGTACCTGCAGACAAAACGTGTCTTGACATAGACTTCTCTTTGGTGGATATAGCCAATGTATAAACTTGTTTTAATTATGAGAATTTTATTTATTTTTTATCTACCAGTGGTTACCTTGTACTTGTAATGAGATAAAATATGAATGTAGTAGAGTGCTATATCTGAAAGTATGTAATTTAATTTGAATTATGATTTTTGACTATTATTATCTTGTGATGATTATTTCAGTTTATATGAATATAGAGCAGAAGAAAACATTGCAGATGATGCTCCTCTTCTATGGATCTTGTTCAGTTTCTTATCAATGGAAAGTAGTATGCAGCCTAGTTGATTTAAAATTATTGTTTTTTTTTTTAATTTTTATTTTATATAAAGGGAATATCCCATGATATAGAATTATAGAGCTTTGAGCTGAAACAAGACTTCAAGAGTAATGATTTAGAAAAATGGTTAACTTCACAAAGAAAGTTGTTATTGGACTAAATTGGCCTTGGCTGACACCTTGGTGCCATTCTAGTCAGTTATATTTTTGTGTTACTTGTGCTTTTTTTGGGCTGATGTCAGTGAATTTGAAGGACATCGTTTCTTACAATTTGCCTTCAGTAATTTAGGGAAATTTTGATTATCCAACATGTGGTTTATAGCTCATGCTATCAGGAAATGCTGTTAATTGTTGCCCTTTTCTTTCAAATGGCTTTTCATCCATTTCTTCTGTAAATTTGTCTCTTTCATAAGCTTTACCTTGCAAATTGCTATAAGACCTTGCCATTTATCTTATAGTTGCTCTTTTCCTCTTATTTATTTATTTATCTATTTATTGACTTTGTTACTGTCATCTTTACTAATTCAGGATGGTTTTTTGTTATGCTAGGTTAATTGAAGTAACTCTGCCACAGTGCCTGTCATAAGCCTTCAAATAACGAGCAGGCTGGTTTAAGTAATGGCGCTATTTTGTAAACATAGCCTGAAGTAGGCTGTTTCTCTTCCAGTGTCAATACTATGGATAGAGCTGACACTTCAGGTTTTGTCAGTGGTGGAAGTTTCTTGTTGAAAGCTCTAGTTGTAACTGGTCTACTATTTGTGAATGTTATAGAGGCTTGTTGCTGAAATTCTACTGCTAGTGTGTCTACTGTTTTCTTTTGTTCTTAAAATTAAGCTGATGAGGATGAATGTCAATGAAAAGGGAGCATATTTCAATTGCTCTAATGACTTTGCTAGAAATGACAAATTTGGTGATACCTCTTTGCGATTGGACTGCCTTGGCTATGAAAGGAGCAGTAATTCTCAATTTCATAATGCTCAAAATGACCCTGGGGCTTTTACTTCTATGACTCTCGATGATGGTTGCAGACTGGTACTTGGATTAGGCCCTACACCACGGGCCTACTCAGAAAATAAGCAATCGAAGGGATCTTCTTCATCATCGCTCCAAGGATTGTCAGGCAATGGTGATTCGATCTTGAAACTGGGGCTTTCTGGAGAAACTGGAAATTTGTTTAGTTCTTTGGACTTTTCGACATCAACCCAAACTGAGTTTACTTCACATCAGTTCACAAGTCAAGTATCTGTTGCCAATCCTACTCATGTTCCTGTGGCTGATGAGGGCTCTACTTCTGCAAAGCAATCAGGTGGTTATATGCCATCTCTTCTTTTGGCTCCTAGAAATGATTGTAGATCAGCCCCTGTACAGATGTGGGATGGTTTTGATCTTGGCTCAAATTCTTCTTCTGATCAATCTCATTTGGGTTCTGAAGCTTCTAATACAACAAGTTGTACTATGGGAACTGTATCTGAACATTCAGCTACTCTTACATCTGTGGACAATAGGCCACATAATGCAAAGAGATGCCGTTTTATGGGTTGTACAAAAGGAGCTCGGGGAGCATCAGGTCTGTGCATTGGTCATGGTGGTGGACAGAGATGCCAGAAACCTGGTTGTAATAAGGGTGCAGAAAGCCGTACTGCTTACTGCAAGGCCCATGGAGGAGGAAGGAGATGCCAGCACTTAGGTTGCACTAAAAGCGCTGAGGGAAAAACAGACAATTGCATTGCTCATGGTGGGGGACGTCGATGTGGGTATCCTGGAGGTTGCTCTAAAGCTGCACGTGGAAAATCGGGGCTCTGTATACGACATGGTGGAGGTAAGAGATGCAAGGTGGAAGGATGCACAAGGAGTGCTGAAGGCCGGGCAGGTCTTTGCATTTCTCATGGGGGTGGAAGGCGTTGTCAGTATCAGAATTGTGCAAAGGGTGCTCAAGGTAGCACCATGTATTGCAAAGCACATGGAGGAGGAAAACGATGCATATTTGCTGGCTGTACGAAGGGTGCTGAGGGGAGCACACCATTATGTAAAGGACATGGTGGGGGTAAGCGATGTATGTTTGATGGGGGTGGGATTTGCCCTAAGAGTGTTCATGGCGGCACGAACTACTGTGTTGCCCATGGAGGTGGGAAGAGGTGTGCTGTTCCTGGGTGTTCAAAGAGTGCTCGTGGTCGCACTGATTGCTGTGTCAAACATGGTGGTGGGAAGCGATGTAAGGTTGAGAATTGTGGGAAGAGTGCCCAAGGGAGCACTGACTTCTGCAAAGCTCATGGGGGTGGAAAACGCTGCAGTTGGGGTGACGGAAAATGTGAGAAATTTGCACGGGGTAGAAGTGGCTTATGTGCAGCCCACAGCAGCATGGTTCAGGAAAGAGAAAACAAGCGAGGCTTGATTGGCCCTGGCCTCTTCCACGGTCTTGTTTCTACCTCTTCTTCCACTATTGCTAGCAGCTTGGACAACAAGAATTCTTCTTCTGGAATAAGTGTCATCTCTGATTGTGAAGAATCATTGGGAAGGCCAGCTAAAAGGCAGCATCTCATACCCCCTGAGGTGCTTGTACCCCTGTCAATGAAGTCAGTCTCATCTTATTCGGTGCAGACAACTGCTGGTGAACAGAACGAACTACGCAATGGTGATAGCAGAAGGGGCAATTTTGAATTTTTGATTCCCGAGGGTAGAGTTCATGGTGGAGGCTTAATGTCCTTCCTCGGAGGAAATCTGAATAAAAACGCTGTGCATGGGATATGAAGTGTGAAAAGTCATTGTGGTGCATTATTTGCTGCCACATTCATTCAAGGTTTTCCTCTGCCTCCTTGTATTGTTCTTGTAATTGTGTATAAAGCTGTAAGTTATTACATTACATGTACAAATAGTTCCTGTAAACCATGCTATTTATTGTTGTAGGTGTCATTCACCCTGCATTATTATTAAGTTGATAAGTGTACTTGGCACTTCTCTTCTTCCTTGTTGACATTGTCATATCTCCACTTTAGTTCTTTGTTGTACATCACTGCTTCTAGTTTCAGTAACTATCTTTATTTTTTTGTCCCCTGCACGGTGTTCTTCTCTTCTTCCTTGTTGACATTGTCATATCTCCACTTTAGTTCTTTGTTGTACATCACTGCTGCTAGTTTAAGTAACTATCTCCGGAGTTGAGAGCTAACATTTTATCAGAATTTTGTGAAAGTTGGAATTGGATATTGGATAACTTCCTTTTGTTTAGATAGAGCTATGATCCTAAAACAATTATCTTCTATACCAAAACTTTAGTCCTCTTTAGAAGTGGTATATTGATTGTTCGGATTGGTTTTGGTTTGGATCAATTCTGGACAGGGTCATATTTGGCTGATGAGTTAACTGTTTTGGTTTGTAAGTGTTAATTTGTCCCGTTATAAGAAGTCTATTGTCAATTAGCTTATGTAATGATATACTGGGTCATATTTGGTTGATGAGTTAACTGTTTTGGTTTGTAAGCATTAATTTGTCCCGTTATAACTAGTCTATTGTCAATTAGCTTATGTAATGATATACTGGGTCATATTTGGTTGATGAGTTAACTGTTTTGGTTTGTAAGCATTAATTTGTCCTGTTATAACTAGTCTATTGTCAATTAGCTTATGTAATGATAAATTAATCAATGTTGGGCACATTAAGGTTTTGGGTGCATGACTTGACAAAATATTTCTAAAGATTTTTTTGCTAATGAAGAAGTTGACAAGTAAATGAAACCATATAATATCAATGTAGAACTCGTTCGACTTTACGTAGAACTGACCATTGATCAATGGAATCAATGGGAGGAATCTTACGACTCCCCCAATTTAATTGAAAACCAATCTCCTAGGCCTACAAAGTACAAAGCACTCTCGATTACTTTCTGTATTCTTTCTATTTTTTGTGTTTTCTTGTTTTTTATTCTGTTATTCAACAACTCTCCTTGTTTCCTTTGTTTTCTAAAACAATCACCAGCAGTTTCACTTGTAGAGAAAACCTAAGCTAGCTTATTAGATCCTGACATTGAATGAGTATTTCAAGTCACCAATGTGGAGTTGATGAACTCCCAAAGCAACCTTGCGGTTGCCTGCCTCATCAACCACACTCAGATGTTTGCAGGCGTCCACCTTAAACACGACCAGTCTTTCTGTCTTCCCATGCAAGAACACTTTCTTGAACCCAAGCAAGTGCTTCCGAGGGGAATTGTGAACAGATGGGGGGGATGAGAAGAGAAAAACTGTGTGCCTTCCTCCCATAGTCCCGTTATTCCTGACTGTCAGGTGGACATCAAATCCTAAGTTCTGACAATGCTCTCCAACAGCATCCACTGACTTGCAGGTTGAAGATCGGCATTCATGTTCTTCCTGCAAGGGGATTGAGACTTCTGTGGGTGCCTTAGCAAGGTGGTGGGTGAAGTCGGAGTAACTTAAGCCATCACCAAAATTGTAGACAGTTTCTCCTGTGTAGAATCTGTAGCTTCTTCCAGGGTACCCTGTTGCGGGGTCTGGTCTCATGTTCATGTTGGTCATTGGTACTTTGTCTGTGTAGGATTGTGGATACCATGTCAAGGGAAGTCTTCCACCTGCAGAGACAATTTCTTTAGTAAGCCTAAATCTCTTTCTAAATGTTCATGTTTTTGGTAACTGTTCGAATTCTAATGAGGAGACTTACATGGATTATAAGCACCAAAAATGATATCTGCAATAGCAGCACCACCAGCTTCACCAGGATAACCTACCCACAATATGCTCTTGATTTTGTCATCGTTCTTGGCAAAGGTAACATCCATACCACCACCAGACATTATGACCAGAATCACAGGTCCCTTGGAAACCTTTGCTACTTCTGAGATCAGTAGAGGTTGCTGCCCTGGAAGGATTATATCGACTCTGTCTCGACTCTCTGCTTCAATGGATTGATCGGCACCCACAATTAGAATGGTAGCATCTGCGGTTGCTGCAATCTGTTTCGCTTCATCAACTTGAGCTGTGGCACATGCTACATTGGAGCAGCCGGCTTGGAAAGTTGTTGAAGTATATGCAGCGAGGCCTTGCAGGGGGGTTATGTACTTGCATGGAGTACCTATGACAAGGAAATTAATAGGATCATAAGTCTAAATAAATTGACATACCCAAATTCGATCCAATCTGAAATAAATATTGACTAAAATATATCCAGTTTTCCTAATGAACTGATTTTTTTTAGAAAATGTTCCAATTAACTAGATAGTGACTGTGATATGGTGCAGAATTACCTTCATAGTTCCCAATCATTGTCTTAGTAACATTGGCATTAGGTCCAATGACAGCAACTGTCTTGATGTTGGTAGCAGAAAATGGCAAAGTTTTTGCAGTGTTCTGTAGGAGCACAATGCCTTGTCTTGCAGCATCAAGAGCTAGCTCTTGGTTTGCTGGGGTGCACACATCTTTAGGACCAAGATTTCCATAAGGTTTCTTACTAGGGTTCCCATCGAAGAAGCCGAGCCTCATTAATGTTGCGAAGTTGTATGAGATTGCTTTATCGATGTCTGATTCCTTTATAAGTCCTTTATCTACTGCACCCTGAGTGTGCTGGGAAAGGAAGTATCCGCAATCAAGGTTCACCCCTGTTCAGAGTTTCTTAGTTAGCGATCTTCTTAGAAGTCACCTTTAACCAAAAATTAAGCTTTCGAGTAACAAAAAAAACTTCACCTGCTAATATGGACTGAGCCACAGCTTCTTCTGGGGTTTTAGTGTAGTGTTGAGATTTGAACAACACATCTATTGAGTCACAATCTGTAACAATGTAGCTGCAGAATCCATGACCAAAGTTTGAGTGTGGCTATGTCGAATTACATATGTAAAATTTTCGAGTTTAAGAGATAAGTAAGCTACCCGTTTAATTTCCAGTCTCCTCTGATAACTCCAGAAAGAAGGTCTGGATCAGCACAAGTTGGCTTGCCATTAACTTTGTTGTAGGAGCACATAACACTAGCAACATTCCCATCAACAACACAACTCTTAAAAGGAGGTTGAAATGTGTCATCCAAATCTTGTTGTGACACCTATGATACATTCATGTTAGTATAATCAAATAGTTAATTGGATGGAATATATTGAGGATTAAGCTTTTACTCCAAACTTCTTCGCCTTTTGTATTACTCAGGGAGAGTAGGGATGTGATAGATTTTCACAACTTATTAGTTGTCTAACTGTTAAACGGTTAATTTGACTTGGATTCTTTTGAATGATATATTTCATGAATCAATTCATTACAAAATACAAAGTTATTTTCTAGCTATTTACTTATCGCTTCCCTACACGAGTAGTCAATTAAAAATCCTTATTGCTTGTAAATAGATCCAGTTTTGAGCATTGGCAAGAAAACATGCATCATGTGGCAAATCATAATTTTTTTTCTTCACAAAATTGGTACTGAGTAATTAATGGTAAATTGGTAACTAAATTTTGTACATAATGGTAATAACTCTTGACTTTTGAAATTTAGCATTATCTAATCTTATGTGAGTCAAACGAAGTAGATATTCAAACTGTATACTCATTTTTTCCTCATGCATTAAAACCTCCCTTTTCATGTTTTGGATGCATTTACATCAATCCACCTAAATTATGGGCATTATTATTGCACCTTAAGACATTACTTTAATAATTTCCAATATTCACCCTAATAAATAAAGTAAATATTGTTGAACCCATTAATATTCAACCTACTTAAGTTGCAAATATAGTTGAACTTCCAAAAACAACAGTAATGCAAGAAAAATGTTCCTCCTATCGTTTTAAAAAATCCATTCTGTTTTGAGACAATCATTGTCCAAATAGGAAGAACTTTTACAGACAGCAACTAAAATATGTAATTAAGATATATATTAGATGAAAAATTACTCTATTCATCTTTAAAAAAATCCATCATATATTAAGACAATCACTGTCCAAACAGGAAGAACTTTTATCGACGACAGCTGAAATACGTAATTAAGATAAAATTAAAGTTAAATAAAAAATTTACCACGGCGTTGAAGGTATAGCGATCGACACCTTTCCAATTATCAACATCATAGGCAGTGTAATGCTTACAACAAGCAGCAACCTTAAGCTTGTTAGGATCAGGATCATCAGATTGTTGTAAACCTCTAACATAATTAGAACCATATTTACTAGCAAGAAGTGGGTCCTCTCCTGGAGTTTCTTGGCCTCTTCCCCATCTTGGGTCCCTAAAAATGTTCACATTTGGAGACCAATATGTCAATCCTGCTAACCCTACATTGTACATTGCCCTTGCTTCACTTGATACTACCTGCATTATACATTTATTGGATTTTTATGTCAACTAGTATTTCCTTTGTTTTGTTTCAAATTAAAGTCGAGAAACATTTTCTTAAAGTTGCTCATCTTTTTATGGTAGTAAATGGAATAATAGTACTACACTAATACTACTAGTACTACTACTAGTGTAGTTTAGCCTTTTGGTGTCAAATAATTGGTGGAAGATAGTACAAGAACATATAGTCTATATTGGTAACATAGTATCAAGTGGTATGTGGTACGGAGTAGTTAATTGGTAAATAACTAAATATTTATCTCGTGAATTAGTAAACATGCGTCGTCTCTTTAGGGGTGAGGCTTTTTTTTTTTTTTTTTTTTTTTTTTTTTTTTTTTAAATATTATTATTTTCATATTCACTCTCCTTTCGTGACATTATCCTATATCAAGTTTAAATAGGAATATTCGTCTATTAACAAAAGTAAATTAACAGGACACAATATATGCTCAATAGTATTATAGGATTTCTTGTGAATAACGTGGTATGAGTAAAAGTATTTTGATTGTCAATTCTAATATAAATTGAAATATTGTGAGAGATGATGATTTATATGGCCGCATTATGTAAAACCATATCACATACGAAGTACATGATACATAGAGTAATATTTTAATTTTCTATATTATTATAATTATATATTATACATAGTATACAATAATGTACCCATTTTTCAAAAAAATGGTGGTATGGCAATGGATAATGCTTAGCATTTAAGTGATTAAGACATGTTATTATTCTCGTCTTATCTTATTTTGATAAAGTATTTATTCTTGAATTAAAAGGATGTGGGGTTTATTAAAGCTTTGTCATTTCAATTAACTTAATTTTGACTAATCATAGTTATCATTTTTTTTTTCAAAATTAGTTTAAAATTACATATCAAAATTAATTTTCAAAACTACTACCAAGTATTAGAGATTGTAAATGAGTTGCACACCTCACATTCATTCATAGATAAATTTCTTCACTCTTTTTTTTTTTTTGGTTATTTTTAAATTTTTTTTTTACTAACAATGTCGATATTAATTTAAAAAGGATTCTAATAAAAATAATTTAAGGGTTGAAACAATGAGTCAAAGACAAAGCCAAGAAATGAGAATCTTTAAAGATTCAAATTCAATGAATGGCACTATGTGTGTAATATGAGGATTAACAAAGCCCATGATGAAAAGAGTAAAAGCACAACTATGATTAGGTTTACTTTCTTAGATACCAAGATTTCAGTAAGTCTTACACGTACTTCAGCAGATAATGGAATAATGTGTCGGCTTACCAATTACCATTATTTTAGATATTTATTATATTCTTAAATTTACATGTATTGGTGCAAAGTTCTCTTTCTTTTGGTGATGAATTACATAAATAAAATTATTTTTGGCCAAATATAATGAATAAATATAAGCAAGCGGGATACATCTCAATTTATAAATTTATTCTGTATAATTTAATATTTTCATAAATTTCACTGATACATGAAGATATTAAGGCCCTGTTTGGTTTGATGTAAAAGGTTTTCATGGAAAATGAATTTTCCATTTTTTCCCATTTTCATTTGTTTGGTTTGTTAAGGAGTGGAAAACAATTTTTCAAGGGTGGAAAATTCCCTCTTTAATGATGGAAAACATTTTCCTTCCAAAAACAAGGGAAGCCACATTTTCCTCTCTCTTCCTTACCTCTTTTTTTACTTCCCTCTCATTCATCCCTACATTTTCACTCTTATTTTTTATTTTTCTTGGACTTTTCTTGTATGCAACCAAACAATGGAAAACTAATTTGCAATTGTGTTTTTCCTTGAAAATATGTTTTCCATGAAAACTAATTTTCCATTGAAAATGTTTTGCATTAAACCAAACGGGGCCTAAAGGTAAAAAAATATGCATTGAAAACATAGTTGAGTGAGCTGAGGTCTAAAAATGGATGAAGTACACTATCTATTCTTCATATGAAGCATCTTTAAAATGCTAAAAAAATTAGTAATTAACAAACAATTAGCATATTTTCAAATTACTTTATGTAAAGTGGGAAAGAAACTCTATATCGAAAGCATAAGATCACTAACTTTTCTATTTTTCAAAAGTAGAGAATTATAAATTAATAGACAATAATACAAGTAATTAAAGTTTGATCACGACCTTTAAACGTACATTATTATTCTCATATATAGCTTCGTAAGTTCGTATGTTGTCTTGGTGTACACTATATTAAATTATTAATCAATGAAGTAGTAGTTTCATTTTAAACCGTGTTAGTACTAATAACAAGGTATTATTTTTCAAAACGCAAAGAATAGTAGCTAAGCTATACTGATAAAATTATTAGTTAAGGTTGGAATTTTGTGTACGAGTTAGTTGTACTAATGCATGCACATGTTAACTCTCAACAAATAGTTTTGTTCATTTGCTTAATTTCATGGAATCCTTAGAAAATCTTCCTACATTATGATTGCTAGCAGTGTACCAATAATACTTAACTACTACGCATGACCTAAATCATTCTTTCTCATTTTTCCACCAACTCTTAACTCTTCTACCATCCAACTCACAAAAAAAAAAAAAAAAAAAAAAAAAAAAAAAAAAAAAAAAAAAAAATTATTTACATTTTATACTTGCTCCATTTTTAAAAGTTCAATAGGTTTTTCATTTTGAGGTATGTTTCATCAAATTTGACCTCACGGTATATTAAAAACTTCACTTTTTATTACGGAGTACTTTGCATGTTAAGTTTATCTTACAGTATTTACACCTTTTCACTTACTCGATCTGTATGTATTATTTTATTTTTGAAATTAACTATTTGTTCTTTTATTATACACCATCTCTATTTTACTTTGCACATTATTTCTTATTACATTTATTCAATTTTTTGTTAATATATTCTGGAAATATTAATATACAGTATACACTAATGAGTCTACCTTTTGAAAATATATAGAGGGAATATTTTTAGTATTTCAAAAGAATTTTCCAAATACCAAAATCACTTACAAAATTAGTAGAGTGGTACTCATATTTCAACATGGAGGACCACAGATTACATACAGTTATATCTACTTTTCTGCCAAAGGAGATTTATTTATTAATAAGGCAATCTTGTTTGTTTATTTATATTAAAGTATTTGTTTGAATATCAAAGTATTTGTTTAAAGTATAAATTAAAAGTGAAAATAGCTAAGACAAAGACAGAAAACTACAGGTGTTGTCCAATATTTATTCAAGTTGCTTGCAATAGTGATATTCACGGATTCACAATTGAGATTTATGAGGATACATGTTTAAATTGTAGATTTTGTTGTTATGTTGTAATTTTACTGTAAATAGTATTTCTATTCTGTTTATTTTTTTAAGAAAAAGTTCAGGCTATTAAAAACGACTACAATGCAAAAGATTGAGAGATAAAATGTCTTTTTCTTTCGTCTAACACAAAAATTGATGCAATTATGCAAACACGATTTTGCACGAAATCCAAGCCACCTATAATTTGTATCTAGATAGGGTTATTTTGTATTATATTCACCGACTTAAATCACGTAAAATCTTGTATGAAACAATTTCAACACTTATTATAACGCCGAGAGTACATCTTTATATGTGTATATATTTTAATATATACATAATGATATATAGATATAAGAATAACAATTAACGTCTCAAAATGTGGCCGTAGAGCAAATCATAAATCTATAATTTTTTTTCAACCAAAAGGTGCACACCCGTTATTTTCACACAGTTGTGTATACGTAAATGACAGAAAATTCCAACCATATTAAAAGTCCATCAAATACCATATAGAAAAATATCAAAATCTAATCTCATATCATAAAAAGTAGCCTCATATTTACCACGTAACTGTCTTTTCTACAACCTATATGGAAATATGAGGGGCAAAAAAGATGATCTTACATCACCATGTAATTTAGCAAGTTAAGTCATATGTAATGTGCTACATAATACTCATAACAAGGTTCTCTTTCGCTTAATTTAGTTGTCACATTATAAATTCAAATTACAGTACGTGTAGTAACCATAACAGAAACACGTACCTTTCCTATGGCTTCAAAGAGTGAAGTATTGAAAGATGCAGCAGTTGTAATAACTTGAGGGAAACTAGTAGCACCAGGAACAACACTAGAGAACCGAGTTCCGGGACCGGTGTAAGAGACACCATGTAAAGCCTCAGACCACCATTCATACTTAGGTATGCCAAGTCTACTTACACTAGCTGCACCACTAATCAAGTAACCGATTTTCTCCGGTAGCGTTAACCGGCCAACCAAGTCAGCCACCCTAGCCTCTAGAGTCTTAGACGTGTCGCAAAAGCCAAAACTCGATAACGAGGCATTGCCCGTATCGCAGGCGAAAGGGGGTGATTGCCCTAGTGCTTTGGTAGGGAGGGACAAAGAATACAATGTGATGAAAAGAATGGTGTAAAAAAAACAGGGGAGAAAAACAGGGGAAACAGAGCAATTTTGTGTTCTGTTTTTTAGAGAGGCCATTTTTAAGGCCTAAAGAATTATGTAATGTATGTAAGAAAAAAATAATTGGGTGGTTTAGGATGGATTTGTGACTTATATTGGTGCTTGTTAGTTATATTTATAGAGGATAGTTGGCTGTTGTTATAGTGATTTTTGTTTTGTTTTGTTTTTTTATTTTATTTTATTTTAGGTGGATAAGGTAAGGAATTAGTGTGATGTTTAAGAGTGGGGCCAAAATAATACATCCTTTAAAACATAAGAATATATTGATGTTTATATATTTAGAGTTGATTAAATTAAGAGAATGACATTTATTAGTGTTCACTGTTTTATGAAAAAATGTACGTAGTATAATCATATACTTTTTTCCATTTTTTGAGTCATATTTGTCAATGCATATGTGAAATGGTTTTGATGCTTTAACCATATGAAAATGTATGGATAGTTCTTTACCAAAACATTTTAATTTTGCTTCATCTATTAAGATGTCATAGACACTTCATCTTTACAAAGACATGACCTACTTATATAGTGAAATTAATACAAGTAGAAGATTTTGAAGATTTTCATTAATTAGTCTCACATTGTCTATTTTGGGGAAAATTTTGAAGGTTTGATGGAAGCAAAAAACTTTTGTATTTTAAACCATTACAATTTAACTATCATATTTGCTAAATGTATAACTGTACAAGTCATACCTAAGACTATTGTATCTTTAATTTTCTACGAGTATACGTAAAAACGATTATTGAATGTATGCAATTAGATTATTCCAACCACGTATCACAAATTAACATTTGTTGTTACTAAGATGTGTCAAAAATAGCATGTAATTGAATATAATGTCGAATTGAACTATCGCAGTTACAGAAATAGATTTAGTATTTTGATGTGAATCCCAATACCTATAAAACAAAGAAAGAGATTTAGTGTAATAATAACTATTTTGAGAGAGGGTATTGTGCAACTAACATAGTTACTGATTAGACTTCCCTTGGAGCATAACTAATTTCTTTATATAGAAGCATTTAAGTGAGTAAATTTTACCCATCATTCTCTCTGCCTAAGGAAAATGAAATAAGATGAAATGATATTTTCATGTGGTACGGTGGTTACAAATATAGCATTGAATAGGAATGGCTACTTCAATTCAAACCTACATATCCGTCTTTTGAATAGAAAACTTTCACTCATATGATAAGTATCTTTAAAAAATATACTATTTTAGTCGCAAATTTTATTCATCATTTTATTGGGCATGCAAGTTATAATATTGTTTTGATTCGGGTTATTGATCTATCTTTATCGTTATTATAGGTAGGGGGATGGAGGAGGGGGAAGTCAAAGTATGTAAAAAAATTGTGTTTAAATTAGTATAAAATGTGATTTAGTGTGTATTTGACTTAATTAGTCATCTAAACTCACCAAATTCAATCAAATCCATAACATTTCCTTATTTTAGAAGCATGACTTGTGTCAGCCAAGTAGTTAGATTAGTTGATTACTAACAAACCAACTATTTACATTATATGTTGTATCCTAGTATAGTCCATTAAGGCATTTACCAGAATCAGGATGTTCATAGTGTCTTTAATAATAAAAGGAGGGAATAGTATCTTGAACTCAGGCACCTTACTCATTTTTAAAAAGTGATTGATGCATAATATACGTAAAATCTAAAGCACAAATCAATTAGATACATTAATTATTGACGGATGATTTTTTATGCTTTCCTTATACGTAAAATAATAATTTTGGTAATGACAAGAGATGTCCTTGCTTTAATATATCAAAATTATTTTTTTATTATACAAAATTCGGAGTATTATTGATCTCAAAGAGTTACTTGTACTTATTACTCTAATTTATACTACAATGTAATAGTTTTACATTATAATTTTGACACAAAAACAAAATTAAGTTTAATCATCTTTGATATTTTATAAGTAAAATAACAGTAATACATGATATCAAATTGAGTTTTAATTTTTTCAATACAATTTTCAATATATTATTAAAAAACCATTTTTTAAAATTTTATTTTATATTAACATAAAAACAATATGTAGTGATTGTCAAAGCTAAGCATTATCAAACCTTAAGAAGATACAAGTATAAACAAAATGGTAGCTAGCCATTTTCTTAAAAACAGAAAAAATAAAATAAAAAATGGTATCTATTATTGAAAATCGAAGGAATTTGTTGATGAACTTCCCAACTTATTTACTAATCGACACGATTGAAGAAAAAAGATCTTTGAAGGAGACAATTCTAGAACATTGCCAAAATTTACCATGATGTATTTTCCTAGGTAAAGATTGAAAATGAAGTGGATTTAAAGCATTATTCTGCCACCTTTGTTACTGATTGTCAACTCCAAAACTTTTCCAATACTCTTATGTTGGAATCAAATCTTTTTTTACGTAGATGGTATCCTTTTAAACTTTACTCAACTTTAGTAAACGGACATCTAAAGAACCACAAAAATTTCAAGGGCTAGAAGAATACTATTTATACAGTTGTGGAGTCGGATATATTGTTATATTGATTTAAATATATACTCCTTATTTAGTTTATTCATTTTTTAAAATTGTTAAAGTGATAAATTGTAATTTTACATAAAGAAAAATGATTTTATCAGAAGATAATTAAAAATGTTAATGTTATAAGACGTACACCGACAATCGTAAAGCTCAAATATTAAAAAATAATGAAGCTTGCTAGTATAGAGTAATACTTTGTGTTACTTTAATATAATAACAGATAAATACAGTTAAAGTACTTGTCAAAAAAAAAGTCAAAGTTAGTCAAATGAATAACGCAAAAGTCAAATGGTGAAATGATAACTATTTTTTAAAATTAATGTAATATACTATGTATGTCTTAATAGGGGAAAATAATAAAATTTAAATAATAAATAGAGAAAAATATCTAATTGTGTGACTTCTGTCAGTCATTGTGAAACAAAGGATCTTATGAAAAAATTATTTCTATTCATTCACTTACCTAATCTCACTTATCTTATTTGGACCATCTAAAGTTATTAAACCTTATTAAACTTATTTTAGTTAGTTGTACGTAATTTTAACTTGGGTAACCCTTGTCAGGATTTTTCCTACACTTATCTTATTTAAATTGTTGTGTGATGAAAAGGAAGAATTCTTTTTGAGCGGTCTTACCTTGTTTAATACATCAATTAGAACAATAGTCAAAGAATGTTGTTGCCTGGTTGGCTATTAACTCAATTGTACGTTAGGAAGTAGCAACTTTCTATTTATGACTTTTAATATAAACATCTATATTAGCTAGATAATACTTTATTGGTTCCATGAAAATAAATGCCATAAGACTTTTTTCTTTTTTTTTTTTTTTGTTATAAATAACAAACAATACATTGTATTTAACTTCTATTCAAAAAAAAAAAAAAAAACTTCTATGGTTAAACCATATCAAATTTCAATACCCTACTCCCATGATTATCTGGCAATTACCTTTTTATAATTGAAATCTAATGCCATTAACCCAAATTTAGCATTATGGTAAAAACAATACACATTATAGTAGCCCCTGAAAAAAATAAAAAGAGTAATGTTTCTATTATTGATTGTCATTTGGCTAAATTTGGAAAATAGTGAAAATTTTGTGTGATAATTATCTATTTATCACATATACTTTAGACTTTGCTGGCTAGAAAAAAAAGGTGCAGCACTGTGGTAATACCACTGCGGTATTAATGACCTACACAAGTGGTTTTTGTTTTTACATTGACTCAAAATTGTGAAATGGTCACGGAGTTGCTCTCCGTGTTTTTATAATTACAATATTTGAATTTCCATAAAAAAAAAAATCACAACATTTGAATGAAATTTAACACTCGTCAATACATATATTTTATAACAATAACTTCTCTAAAAATCTTCTACTAAATATTAAAACTGTCACTCCTCTATTCCATATATTGCTTATTTTTATTTTCATGGTCATAATTAAAAAAAAAAAAAATTGACCAAAAAATCTCATTATTATGGACAAAATACATTGTCATGTGAGATATTTAATTCATCTCAATAAATATATATATATATATATATATATAATAATAATAATAATAATAATAATAATAATAATAATAATAATAATAATAATAATTATTATTATTATTATTATTATTATTAATACGAAATTACATACAAATTCTAATGGTCAAAGTCATCTTTATAGATTGTGTTAAATAAAGTAGGTATTATTTCATGGGATGGTTGGAGTATTATTTTCTTTGAAAACATAACTAACCAAATCACACATCATTAATTTTCTATTATATAAATTTTTGTGTGTTTGAGTAGCATAACAACAAAATGTTGCAATTTTTACTCCATTAGAAATAACAAGTGGATTGGACCTAATAAATCTAATAATAATATAGGGTACCAAGTAGTAATCGGTGTAGTTGAAAGAGGTTTCATCTTATGACTTTGAACTGTTTAAAGTAGCTTAGTCACAAGCTCATCAATCCTTACCACTGCAATTCTGTTAAATGACTAACCTAGTTAAATCTCTGAGTCAACGGAGTCAGACAACCTCCACTATTCATTACCTCTTTCGCAAACACAAAGATCACATCAGATCAGACACGAGAATAATAAAAAATAGAGATAAAATCATGCAATAGAAAAAGTGACATTTGTAAGTATGCGTTAGGAATATTCAAATTATTCATAACACCAATAGAGAAATTGTTTTGTAGTAGCCCGTGATAAAATGGTGAAGAGAGGCCAAAATGTCATTTAAGAGGTCAAGTACAAAGTTTATGTATGTGGCTACAAAACTGTTAAATATAAACTTAAATCTTACATATATACATTTTAAAATTTTGCTAATTATTATTGGGCAAACATTAAAGGACTAAAAGTAGAAATTTATAAGAGTCCGTGAAGAACTGTAAAATGGTGTTTTTTAATGGAAATAAGTTGGTAAATGCATGCTATTTTTTTGGTATTTTTGGTGGATGCCAGCAAAAGAGAAGAGTGAGTGTTGAATTTGCAGAAGGGAAGGCAATTTGCAATATGGTTGGTCTCACGTGAAATTTTTGTGGCGGTGCATCCGGTGCTGCTTTTTTTTTTTTTTTGCTATTGCTGTCAAATTGTCAATTGTGCATGTATTGATATCCATTTCTT